AAAAAAATAAAATAAAAAAAGAAACGTTGAATGAACAGTGATCCAAGCCCAACCACTATCGTGCACAAGGGGAAACAGATTCAGAAAGGGGAAGGGGCTTGCCCAGGGCTGCGGCGTCGGTCAGAGCCAAGCTGGGCCAGTGCTCCTTCTGCTCCCGGCCTCAGCGGGGAGCCCCTGGGCTCCCCCAAGGGAAACGGTCCCCTCTGCCTGCCCCCAGGGATGGGGTACTGGTCCCTGCAGTCCTTCCTTCCCCCTTCTTCTGTGGGCCTGTCACAGGAGATGTTCTTCTCTTCCCCTTCTCTGCCACCACCTGCCCACCTGGCTCACCCAGCCCCTCCCTGGGCAGCTCAGCCCCCACCTGGATCTGCTCCATGCAGTGCTGGGGGGACTCGGCTGACACACACTGGATCTCTGGCTTGAGCCTCTGCCGGCTAAAGGCCACAGCCATGTCTCCACACTTCTGGATCTCAGGAGTGGACAGCACACACCAGTGCAGGTAGGGGGGCAGCCCTGTGTGGGGGTGAGCACATAGTCATTGCCAATCTGTGGATTGGGGCCCTGGCGCTGGTACCTCATGGGAAGAGCTTAGAGTCAGACCCAAGGGAAATTCTGTTTTTTTTTCTTGTTAGTTGTGTGGCTAGAATAAGTTACGTAACCATCTGATCCTGCTTCCTCATACAGAAAGGGGATAACTGTACCTCTCCAATGGGACTGTGAGAGCTTGAGGCAGACCATGGCTGTCATGGATCTAATTCAGTGTCTGGCACACCAGTTCCCTGCTGTAGGCAGAGGATATGTGGGGGTAGAGGCTAGAGGTGGGAAGCCCACTTGCAGACTACTGCAATAGTCCGGGCGAGAGAATGCCTGAGCCAGGCTGTGACCATGGGGTGGGGAGAGAGGAATGAAAGATTGTGGAAGGAGAATGGAAAGGACACGATGGTCCCTGCATGGAGGGGCAAGGAGATCCCTCCCGAGACAGACCCTGATGGCCTGAATCCCACCCCCAGAGCAGGTGGGGTCTCAGGGTACAATGTACCATGCACCTACAGAGATGCTTCACCCCAGACCCCCGAAGGCAGAGGACTGGAAGTGACAGGTTCTCAGAGAGGCCAAGAGGTACATGCTGGGCCTCCTGGATGAGTGTCCTCCTCAGCCACTTCCCCAGAGAGCCCTGCCATGCCTGAGGTCGGGCCCGGCTGGAGTTGGCAGGAGAAGGGACAAATGGACTTACGGCTGGGGTCACAGAACAGACCCTTCATGGCATGCAGGTACTCTGGGCCCAGCCATGCCTCGTAGGTCTGTGTGGCGATGGGCACAAGCTCCAAGGTGGAGTCTTTGAACAGCAGGTTCTTCTGGCCATAGGCTTCAGAGCTGAACATCTGGAAGCTGCTACCCTCATGGCTGAACAGCAGCTGTGTCAAAGGGTGGGGGTGGCGGCTGGTGAGGGTCCTGCCGGGTCATATCCTCCCCAGTCAGCCACCTGTCCCTTTTCCTGTGGCCTCAGGCCAGGTGCCCATTCTCAGGGGCAGGCGAGGCCCCCTCCCCTGTGGCGCCTCCGCTGATCCACACTCCTTCTCTGTGCTCCTCCAGTTCTGGGTCTCCATCCAGTTCATCCTGCCTTGTCGCACTCAGATGTGGCCCAGGTGTGGGAGGACTGAGGACACACAGTGGGGCTGGGCAGTGGCAGAACGGACAGGGCACCCCAGCAGTCAGAAATACACTGCTGTTACAAGCAGTGGATTCAGCAAAACATGACTCACATTTAACTAATGATACTTTAAATTGTACTGGTTTTGTCATCTTGGATATTTGTTCATATGTTCTGGTCTTGGTTTTCAGGCACTAGTACAAGACGCTTTCTCTGAGGGCTGCCTGAGTCTCCTGGTCTCCCTCCTCAGCCAGCCCTCCTCCCGGCCAGCTTGGTCCCTCCTTCATACCGACCTGGCCTGAGGCTGGACATCACAGAAGCCAGGATCCCCAGCTGGGGTCTGTCCCAGGGTGGGGTCTCTGGGCCCTGCCCCTATGGTGGTGGGTGGTGAGAAGACCCAGACCCCCCACCCTGGGGGAAGCTGTGGGGCTTGAACTTACCTGGCCTTCATTGAGCAGCCGGAAAATGAGGCCCCCATCCGTGTCAGCCCGGACCACCACAGCATGAGCAGGCACCCGGGCGAGGTGGCATTGCCTCCACCTAGTGACGTCGGCCCGGCTGCCATCCCGGCACAGCAGCTCGAAGTCCTGTGACCTCAACACCTGGCCCCAGGAGGGCAGGGTTTTCCCTGGGAAGATGGGACGCCTGGGGTGAGTCCACTCCCGTCCTGGGAGGGATTAGGGGAGGGTGACGGGGAAGGCCCCGGAGAGGGAGCCTGGGGAGAGGCCAGGTGTCCTGGAGGTGCGAGTCCAGAACTCACAATGAAGACGAGCTTGGTGGCCGTACCCCACAAGAGCAGGTGTCTAATTGACCATTTACTTACATCTTCTACCTCTCACCAATGTCTACTAATAAAGTGGATTTGAGGTATCTAACAATATGACGTATAAATAGGACTATTTATTAAAGACAAAAAGAGTGAGAAAATGAGACAATTAGGATGAGAGAGAGAAATGGACCAAGAGTCTAGGATGAGTTCACTGCTGTCATTAGGCACTACATTTGGCTCAGAGCAGAGGGCAGAGGGCAGAGGGCGGAGGGCAGGGGGCAAAGGACCATGGTGGAAACACACCCTGACAGAATCTACCAGAACCATGGCCAGAGAGAAAAGGGTAACTCCCAAAGCTTCACCTGCAACCCCAACTATTAATATTTTGATGTATTTCCTTCAAGTCTTTTTTTCTATTGTATTTTCTACTTCTATTTTATAACCATTTTTTATTTTTTTTGTTTATTTTATTTTCTTTTTAAAGATGACTGGTAAGGGGATCTTAACCCTTGACTTGGTGTTGTCAGCACCACGTTCTCTGAAGTGAGCCACGGGCCAGCCCCTGTAACCATTTTTTAATATGGTTAAGGACATAGTTGATAGACAATTTTGCATCCTACTATTTTTTTAAAAAAAATTATCTCTATAAAGCATTTTTCCACATTATTGGATATTTTCCATAGAACTCATTTATTTCTTAATAGAAAACAAGATTTATTTGAAAGAGCGACTATTGACACCAAATAGGAATATTAAAAAGACTGATATTAATGATTGTAACTAAACCACAGACGGTCCTGCATAACAAGTTTGCTACTTTTTAACTTAAAACGAGGGGGATAAAACCTCTGCTAGGAAATAAGAAGGGCGTTAATTTGTGGGATCATGAAAACTTTCGCTCAAAAGCTATTTGAAAGCAAAACCCCCAAAACAACAGAGTAATGATTTGAAAAACTCCTTAAGGTCACCTTTAATGGCTGCATGATGTTCTATAACACTCAGTCCAGTTCTCTCCCTCACTCCCCAACTATTCTCTATTTTTATTTGATTTCATTTTTTGGCAGCTGGCTGGTATTCTTCTCTATTTTTAAACTGCTGCAAAACCTTTGTGTAGATCTCAGGGGTTATCATTTGTCTTAGGAGATAAAAGCATCCTTTAGGCACTTCTGTCTGCTACTCCTGTCTCATTGGCTAGAGACAATTAAAGACAGATTACTTCACCACTTTAGACATTTATGTCAAGTCCACTATTTTGCTTTTATCAATCTCTTTGCATAAAGATACTTTTTAAACAATTACTTCCTTAGATTTCCTTAGATTACCATAGAAACTTTAAAAAAGCTGATTTTAACCCAGTATATTGCTATTCTTTGCCCACCAAAAAAAAAAAAAAAGGCAATGATTAACAAAAAAATACAATGATTAAAAAAAAAGACAATAATCAGACATTCTGGAACAGGCAACACTATAGAGACAAAAGTCTGACTGGTGGTTGCTGGCAGGCAGGGAGGGGGTGACTAGAAGGGTCGTGAGGAAACCTTTGGGGTGCAGGGTCTGTTCTAATCAATACCTTGATTGTGGCGGTGGTTATGCTTTTCTNGAAAACTTTGGGGTGCAGGGTCTGTTCTAATCAATACCTTGATTGTGGCGGTGGTTATGCTTTTCTCTGTGGGCCTTGGTTCTGGGTAGATACACACAACTGTATGTTTTTGGCAAAACTCATAAAACTATACTTCAAAAAGCAAATTTTGCTACATGTAAATTATACCTCAGTTTAAAAAAGAAATAATTTTCAGGTAAATCCAAATTAAGGGACAAATAAAATAAAATAAAATAACTGGCCTGACTCTTCAAAATGTCGATGTCTTAAAAAGGAAAGAAAGACAGAAAAACTGTTCCAAGATCAAGGAAAATAAAGAGATCTAACAACTAAATACCATGCGTGATCATAGATTAAGTCCTGGCCTGAAAAAAAACGGCTATAAAGGACAGAATTGAGACAATCAATGATATGTAATATTGACTGTAGATTAGATAATAGAACTGTATCAATGTTACATTTCCTGAATTTGATAACTGTGGCTGGAACATATCTCCTTGTTCTTAGGAGATGCATACTCAAGTATTCAAGGGGCACCAGGCAAACGTACTTTCGCATGGGCCAGAACACACGTGCACGCACACACACACACATGCATGCACGCACACACACACGCACACACACGCATGCATGCACACACACACGCACACACACGCATGCATGCACGCACACACACACGCACACACACGCATGCATGCACACACACACGCACACACACGCATGCATGCACGCACACACACACACGCACACACACGCATGCATGCACACACACGCATGCATGCACGCGCACACACACGCGCACGCACACACGCACACACACGCATGCATGCACGCACACACACACGCACACACACGCACACATGCACACACGCACACGCACGTGCACGCACGCACACAGAAAGAATGATGAACCAAATGTGGTAAAGTGCTAAAAGTTCAAATCTGACTACTTTTCTAAAGTTTAACTATTTCAAAATTAAAAAACAATTAAATGACAATGATATAATGGATCAACATGTAACACTAACCCATAGTCAATAAGACATTGTCCAGGGATGAAGGATGGCTTCTTCAAGAAAGAAGAGAAAAATGCCAAGAAGGGACAGTACATGAGACCTAGTGCAGAAATTTGCAAACTTTTGTTAAAAAGCAGATCCCAATCTTCAAGTGGAAACAGAACCCAATGCCATGTGCAAATCAGAACGGAGCTGGTCACCGGCCCCCTGGTGCCACAGAGCAGTTGAAACTCCACTGGTGAGACCTACTTCTTTCTTTTTGCAGACGGGAGCCTAAGGTTCAGAGACTGAGGGACTTGCCCAAGGTCTCCCAGAGACTCGGAGCAGCACTGAAGGGGAGCTCCTGCGCTTAGCCCTGCCACATGGGGGCCCTGCTCCAGGCAGCCCCGGCCTGAGATTCTGCTCCGGTGGGCCAGCCCCCAACTCACCATCCGTGTTCTCCAGCACCGTGCTGTGCTTCACAAAGGCCACATCCCCTGCCCCTTCTGCCAGACACCTGCAGAGGAGAAACCATGAGCCTGGACATGGCTGAGCTCCCCTCGAGCTCCTTGGTCCCTGCGCATCTCCCACTTCTGGAGTTCTGGCCTGGGCATGGGGGTGGCTGTGGTGGGCGTGCAGTCCAGATTCCAGCTCCCCAGCTTGTTGGCTGTGTGGCTTTGCCAAGTGTGGACCCTTCCTAGACCCTGTCATGTACAAAGCGGGGGAAAGTAATCATCTCCCTATAAGGCTGCAATGAGGATGAGAGACATTTACAGTTTACATAGATCCAAAGATTGCCTGGTTTGGGCCTGCAAACAGCAGGTACTTACTTATATGGCAGTTGCCATCAGCAGCCTTGACACTCAGGGGGTTTTAAGATGATCCCACCCTGAGGCAGGCAATTGGACTAGAAAGATCTTTTCATGCCATACCAAAAACTGTGTGGAATGGACGTAACTTTTATGCATTCTCTATACGTCACTGACAAGAGTGGGAGGCAGGTCAGGGCTTGCTGGGCAAAGGGGCTGCTTGGGTCCCCACAGCCAGAAAACAAGTAGGGATTGGATGGGGGTGGACAACACCAGGAGAGGGCTCTGAAGCCTCCAGGAGAGTCAGGGAGAATGGGCAGATGGCTGAGGACACAGGTGAGGTGGGGTGGGCAAGGGTCCACCACTTGGGGGTGCTGAAAACAGCTTCTTCTTTCGGTGCCCCAAACTGCATTTACCAGATCACACCTTGGAGCTGGGGCACCAGAAGGCTTCCCCACTCCCAGGTGGAGATAGAGGACGGGGCAGCTAGAGGGACTCAAGATTTTCCCATTCTGGTCCCCGTGGAACATGTCTCATTTGCGGATGGATGGAATTGGACCACGAGCTGTCGGAGACTCTTTCGGATCCATGAAGGACGTAAGCCCAAGTGCCAACTTGAACCCGTGGCAGAGCGGTCCCCGTGGAACATGTCTCATTTGTGGATGGATGGAATTGGACCACGAGCTGTTGGAGACTCTTTCGGATCCATGAAGGACGTAAGCCCAAGTGCCAACTTGAACCCGTGGCAGAGATGGGGCAGGCCCAAGTGTCATTCCCTCCACCCCCTCTGCCTCCCCCACTGGTCTGAGACACCAGAATGGGGACATGGGTGTGGCAAAAGGCTGTTTTTTCCATTTGCTTCTCTCTGAGCCCTCACCTCTCTAAATATACCAAACATGTTGATTTTATGAGTAAATCCAGTCTGGCATGTTCCAGTTTGATGTTTTTAAACTAACCAGGGTACAGAACTATGTAAGTATAAAAGGTGCTTTGATGAGAAGCAGCCAACACTGCCGCTTCCCCCTCCGCAGCCCTCGCTGGGTAAAGCAGCTTCTCCCCAGCCCTGTGGCCTCCAGCGCCTCTGCACACCCTGCTCCTCCCATGCCCGCAGCCCTCCCCAGGCCCCCTCACCGGAAGGCCCCGCTGTAATCGTAGTATCTCTCCAGGGGGCTCTTGTCACACACCCCCTCCCCAGAGGTGTCGCCCCGGCAGAGGCGGCAGAGGGACTCTGAATAACTGGTCTCTCCTGCCCCGGGGACACAGCTGCCCCCAAAATAGTCGCTGACGGCTGTTGGAAGAAGGCAAAGAGAGGTCACTCAGCCATACTTTCTTCAGACCCTGAGACCCAGGGCCTGGCTTCCACAGGGACCTTGTCAGGATTCTTCTGAGAATCGTTTCACCTTCTAGCTTCAGCCTGAGCAAAACAGGGGAACTGGATTGGATCAGTGATTTCCAGGCTGGGTCCACAAAAGCAGCAGTGGGCATCTGGAGTGACTGTTTTTATTTAAAAATGGCTCAAGGAAAGAAAATATTTATTCATTAACAACTACACAAGACAACTAAACATCAGCTAGATACTGTTCTCATTGTAGGTTTCATTTCCAAGTCAGTGTATATGATTAATTAATAAAAGGGGGAAATAAAGAATTACTTAATGAGTATTATTATTTTGATAGAGAGCACTTCTTGAAGCACAGGATGGGGAGGGAAACCAGGTAGAAGGAGGCCTCATTGGTGAAGAGGTCGGGATCTGCTGATGTGCATGGATTTTCAGACACTTGTCAGCACTGAGGCCCTGCGTCCAGCTCCTTCACAAATAACTATCCTGTGCCAAGGGAGGACGCCCTCCTGCCTGCACCCAAGCCCGCAGGGCCACGTGCATCACCCAGCTAGACAGAGTTCTTCCAGGGCAAGCCCCCTTGTTCTTCTTTCCATGTCCTCCCAGAGGAGTAGATATGTAATAAATATGCCAAGTGACTGACAAACCACCCACTCACGGCCACCATCTGAAAGGGTGTGGCTTCCAGGCTCTTGGGGATCGTGGCTGGTTTAAATGGCTGGTTGGGGTCATTAGCCATTTGGGAGCTTTCTGGGTGCAAGACAGCAGATTGTTTGGGTCCTGAAAAAATCGTGTTTCTGATCCTGTAAAGCTGAGGACACACTTCTAGGCAGAGTGGCCTGCATGAGGTCTATACCAGGTGGAAGCAGGAGTGGTTTGACCTGCTGGGGCCAAACAACCGGAAACTCAGATGGTGGCAGCACAGGGCTGGCCAGCAGCGTGGAGGGAATGATCTCATCCGCTATGTGCAGGGAAGGCCTCTGGAAGAGGGACTTCGCCTCACCTTAAAGTGGGCTCAGGGTGAAGGTGAGGCCAGAGGGAGGCCACCCCCAGGGAAGGAATAAGCATGAGCAGAGGAAAGGAGAGGGGAGACCCAGAGATTCCCTGCCAGCCCAAAGCCCTCACCTTTGAGCACATCGCAGCCCATCACCGAGAGGTGGCCGCTCTCCACCAGGTAGCCCACGGGCACATTCCAGCCCACTGTCCGGTTGATGCCCGTATGGCAGGACTTCACTCCTTTCAGCGTGTTGATGGTCACGTTGGAGCTCCTCTTGACCACAGCCACGGCGTAATAGGAGGTGCCAACCTCTAGGAGGGAGGAGAGGAGTGACGGTGGTGGGAGGCTGCCCCCCCAGAAGGCTGCAGGAGAGGGGTGCGTGTGTGCGTGTGTGCAGGCACACATGGGTGTACACAGGGTACATGCATGGCATTCTGGTGGTCGAGAGAGCAAGTGCGTGCAGTCCGTGTCTTATCACGAGACCCTGTCCTTCTCCAGCTTCAAGAGGCGGATATTATCCTGGGACATTGATTCACTCATTGATGTCCCCCTTTTCCTTTCCAAGCTAGCCGGTGCTTTGCCGGGTCTACATTTGCACCCTCACGTCAGGGAAGCTGTACAGCTGGATGGAAAGCAGAAGTAGCCTGCGAGTCTTTTACTCCCCAAAAGCCTAGGCCCTTGGGAGGACTTGGAGGGTTTGAGGGAGTGGTATGGTGCTTATGAGAAGAACAGTGGCTGGGAGAGGCAGGGGGAGCAGGGCAGGGGTGCCTCCCAGATTAGAAAAAGTGATTTCCTGGTGCTGAGGGGGTGAGGGGAGAGAGGGAAGAGACAGAGGCAGAGAGAGAACTAGCAAGGTGGTCCCAAGTTACTCAAGACCCTGAATGGCTGTGGGGTACACGTGGTGGGTGGGCAGGGCTCTGCAGCCTTGCAAGAGATTCCCCTGGGTAAAGTGTGGCCCAGAAGGGGCCATTTGGACAAAACCCAGTTGACTCATCTATGGGGACTGATGACCAGAGGGCCTCCCATTGGATAGACAGACAGAAACACAGACTGCCCTGTGGTGGTGGGGTGCCCATGATCAGAATGAAGTTGAGTCCTAGAAAATAAAGCCAGTGTTATCTCTCACACATCTGAGTCTGGCCTTTGCCAACCCAAGCAGCTTCGTCTGGTACCCACCCTCTGAGTTCCTTGAACCACCAAGATCTTTCCCACCCGCACCTGGGATCGTTATCAGGGCTCAGCTGAAATGTCACCTCATCAGACAACCCTCCTCTCTGCTCTCTTTCAGTAGGTTTCCCCACACCCCTCCTCTCTCTCTTATGGTCTTTACTTTTCTTTGTAGCACGCACCACATGAGTAACGATAGTTTTCATGTTTGTTTACTATCCGACTCCTGTCCTTTGAGGGCAGGAACAGGGTCTCCTGCTTACTACTCGATGCTCATGACAGCATGTCGCTCAATAGATGTGTTGACTAACTAAAGAGGAAGAGCTGCGTTTGGGCTCATGAGGCAGGGCTGTTTCTGGCCTTTGAGGGAAAAGGCTGACTTGTTTGCAGGGTCAGACTGTGTCCTGTGTCATCTGATGATCATTAATTTGTCAAGTAACCGGGCAATGCCTTCTCCAAGTGAGACCCTGTTCCGAGTGCCAGAGAATATACAGAGATGAGGACTAGGCCCTCCTCAGGGAACTAACAAACAGGGTGGGCAGAGCCTCAGCAGAGATGAGTGGGAGGGAGTCAGGACTCCAGGGATGCAGGAAAGAGAGGCTCTTTGCAAGGGTGAGAGGGGCTCAGGGGAGCTCCTTGGAGGAGGTGATGATTGTGCTGGACTGTGGCGGAGGTGAGGCACTGGACAAGTGGTGGGGGGCCGAACTGGCTGAGGGATGCAGGAAAGAGAGGCTCTTTGCAAGGGTGAGAGGGGCTCAGGGGAGCTCCTTGGAGGAGGTGACGATTGTGCTGGACTGTGGCGGAGGTGAGGCACTGGACAAGTGGTGGGGGGCCGAACTGGCTGAGCTAGAGGCACGTCTGTGCGAGGCATAGGGACCGGGGCGGAGGAACTCACATTACCAAGCACATACCATGTGTCAGATGGGCACAAACCCTGGCTCATTCAATCTGTGTGACAGGGCAGGTATTACTATCCCCAGTTTACAGTCAAGGAAGTGGAGGGTGTCCAAGGTCATAGGAGGCCATGGGAAGGGACAGAGCCGGGATTTATTACCCCGGCTATCCCCAGTCCGTGCTGCTTCTATCCCCACTTCGTGAGAGGCACTAAAGTTTGCAGGTAACTGGGCATCACTGACTCCTTCTCTGCCCCAGGCAATCACACGTTTAGCTTCATGCCCAACACTCCACCAGGCAAAGGGCAGCCCCTCAGTAAGAGCTTGGTGGGTAAAATTAGGGGGGCTCCCCACAAGGAAGAACAGACTCGGGTCAGTTCTCTGTGTCCCTGGAGTTCCTGCCCCCATGGAGGCCCAGAGAGACTCAGAAGGTTCTCAGAGGGTTTGTCTGGCTGGGACTCCAGGACTACTCTGTGCACAGGGCTAATGACCAGCTTGGGGGATGCTGGGTCGGGCCAGGCCCAGCAAGGACAAACTGGGGAGCTGAGCTCTAGGGTGGGGACTTTCTTTCTCCTCCCCTCTGCCCTCTTACCTTGATCATACACTTCGCCCACCACAGGCTTCAGGCCATGCTCCTTCCCTGCCTCATAGATGGCTCCTCCATCCAGCGTGATAGCATCAGCCTCCTGTGCCTGGTAAGAAACACGTGGTCAAGTCAGTATACCAAGAGCTGAGCTAAAATGAAAACCAGGTGTCCTTGTGCCTGCCCCCAAGACATCCCTCCCTTTTTTGTCCTGCCTCTGGAGATCATCACATCAGTGCCAGTTGAGTGGGTCTCCTGACACTGAGACCTGCTTTCCCACCCCAACTCTTCCACTCAGGGCCACTGGCCCCTGCTTCTCCTTCCCCAGAAACCATATGAACCTCATTCTGGAAAGCTCCATGACAGGGTGAATAACCAACATGGGCCACTGAGGGGTCACTGCTGTCTGGGCCCCCATTGGTGGGGTGGGTTGTGTCCCCACTCTAGCAGTGGTCTCGTGGAAGGTAAATACAACCTCTCAGACACCTTTCCCCGCTGGTACCCATCTGAGCCACGGCTCTTTTGAGGCCTCGCACCGCCTTGCCTGGGCCTGGCAGGAAACAAGCTGGCCCTTGTTGCCGGGAAACTCAGGAGATCCTATCGCCCAGCCCTGGCAGAGGGACATTGGCGCCCTTTCCCAGTGAATGAAGTTGTTGTGTGCTCCCTCCTGAGTCAGAGCCCTCTTGTCTGGGCCAGGGGTGGGTGGCGGACGCAGGGCAGAAGGGAGAGGACTCACTATGATGAGCTGGACGCAGTGGTCGGCCGAAGTGCCCTGGATGCAGAGGAGGGAGGGCTGGATGCCTGCTTCCTGGAAGGCCTTGCTCATGTCACTGCATTTCTGCTGCTCTGGGTCTGAGGTGGTGCACCATCGCACTTCCATCCCACTGAGTGCTGGGGGCAGGGGACAGTGAGGCCCACATCCCCCGCCACATTCAGCCCGCAGCCCGCAGCCACAGATGGTGGCTCCAGCAGCTCTGTGAGACCCCATTAGCTTCATAACCAATCTCTGCAACACCCTGGTGGGAGAGCACCAAGGCGCAGAGACAGGGAAGGGGCTCAGCTCATTGTCAAGGGCAGTGCTCAGGGCCTCTCTGATCAGGGACACAGCCATTGGCAGATGGGGTGGCTTGGAACCTGGCCGATTACAGAGGTGCAGGAAGGTCTCCCAGGGTATCTGCTCAGCCTCCTCCGTCTTTCTCCATCTGCCTGGAGTGGCAGCCTTGTGGGTGGAAGGAGCACTGGCTGGGGAGCCCTGGCAGGAACCATGACTTGTTAAGTTCCTGCCCCTCTCCAGACCTCCAAAAACACAGTGCTGGCTTGAGTTCCCTCACCCAGCAGTGTCCCTGGGTCCTCTCATGGACTGGGACATGGGACGAGCGGGCCATGGGTGGGCTGCCCTTGAGGAGGCTTGGGCCCTCTCAGAGCACCTATGATTACGCTGGTTGCACACCCACCCTCAGTGGGCATGGTGCTGGACCTCTGCCAAGGGAAGGCAGCACACAGAAAGGAGGCTGAGGAGTCCCTAAGTTGGGGTCAAGTTCCTGTCCCTCTAGCTGATGACTTCAGGTAACTTATTTGACCTCTCTGAGCTTGTTTTATCCGAGGAAGCAGACGAGAAGACCCACCTTCTGCATTGTAAGTAAACCTATGTAGAGAGCCCCAGACACACAGGTTCCCAGTGGACTTTTGCTTGGGTTGCATGATCTGACCAGGTTAGAGTCCCAGAGAGCTCCCAGGCTGGGGGCCCAGTGGGAGGGGTGCCAGAATTCCTTGGGGGTTGATGACTTTGTAGACCTAAGCTCCTCCACCACTCACCCTGCACAGCCAGGTTTGCCAGGGAGGCCTGTGCATGGCTTTGGGTCCAGTTCTCCTCCCTGCCAGGGCAGCCTGCGCTCTTCATCTCCACCTCAAGGGTCAAGACTGCAGCTTCCTACACAGCCTCCCCCTTCCCTACCCTGGGCGGCACCCTGCAAAATTAAACTGACCTCCCCGTCTCCAGCCCCAAGACTCGCCTCCTGGAGGCGGGGCAACTGCAGAGCTGGGAGCTGAGGTGGTGGGTTCATTTTTCGTACCGATGAAGGACGCACTGCCTGCAGTCAGAGCGGTGATGTGACCTCCATCCCCCCCTCTGCTGTCGCCGCCCTTGATCCCCACTCCCCGCTCCCCGAGATGCCGCCTCACGTCCCACCGTCCCAGACCCTGACTCTCTTGGGTGCCGACGCGGGGACACGCAGCCTCCGTCCCCCACCTCCATCCTTGCATTTGGCAAGACGCCCTGGAGCGGTCTGCCGGGCCGTCTCTCGCGCCCCTCCCCGCTAGTCCCTCTGAATCTTCTCCCACCTGCCTCCTCTCCCGCAGGACTCGGGAGAAATAGAGCTGCTCTGCCCCCCCGCCCCCATCCTTTCCCAGATTTCCACATCCTTCAAGAGCGGCCACCCTCCAGGACCTCCTCCCGGCCCTCCAAGGCTCTCCCCACCACGCCTCAGCTAGCGCCAAAGCGTCGCTTTTTCAAGGCCGCCTCCTCCAAGAAGCCCTCCAGACTTCGCAGTCCGCCCGACTCAGTGCTAGCTCTACGGCCCTCAACCGACCCCGCACCTCGCGCCTTCCCTATCCCACCACCCCTGGAGACACGGGCTCAAGACACTTTCAGCCCCAGGGGCCTTGCTGGGTGGCTAGAGGACTCCAGGACCCCTGCCCCGCGCCTGTTCTCACAGCCGGACGGCAGGGCCTCACCAGTACGCAGAGCCAGGAAGAGCCACAGAGCCACGCTTGGGACCCTCATGGCGCAGTCTAGGGGTGACTGGGGTCGCTGAGTCTGGGTCCGGGTCTGAATGGGTCAGCAGCAACCGGGTTTCTCCCTCCTTACTTTCTTGCACTGGCCTGCAGCTACTTAAGTGCAGCCGGGGCGTGCCTCGGCGGTGTCCACGCCCCTGGGGCGCAGCCTGCCCCCCACTTTGCCGCCCCCAGTCTGGACACCTGGGCTGACCAGACTGGCCTTGGCTTTCACTCTGGCGCCCCCTGCTGGAGCCTCGGCTGGCGTGCGGCCGGGTCTAACGCTGCGGACCCCCCAACCCCCGCACAGCTGTTGGGGGGGGCTCTCTCAATATTCAGCCCCGCATTTCAGAGCATCCTCCCCTTCTCTGTCCTAGAAAGACCCCAAATACCATGTCCAACTGGAGAGGGAAACGCTAGATTTAGAAGGAAGATGAAGTCAGATCCCAGAGTTGGAGGGAAGCCTGAAGGCCATCTGATTTATTCACCAGCCCCCCTTCAAACACATGCTGCACAAAGGATCTGGGGATACAGAGATGAACCTGGGTACCGACGGGTTGGCTGGGGAGGAGCTGACGGTGGGGGGTCTCACAGTCCAGGCGACAGGACATCCATATCGTAAGAGCTTGGAGGAGCTCTGTCACAGTGTGCTCCTTCCCTTATCTCTTGGGGGTCATTCCTCAACTGTGACTCGTCAGTGAACTTACTGTCTCTGGGCTACAGGGACTTCTACGACATCCATATCGTAAGAGCTTGGAGGAGCTCTGTCACAGTGTGCTCCTTCCCTTATCTCTTGGAGGTCATTCCTCAACTGTGACTCGTCAGTGAACTTACTGTCTCTGGGCTACAGGGACTTCTACATTTGGCCTCTTTGAATGGCCTTAGCATGGACATGGCTTTGTATGGATACCTGTGTACAGTGGGGAACTTGGCCTCAGCTTGAGCCTGGATTCTGCCATCTCTGCAGTGCAGACATGCCTGGGTGTGTCAGAGGAATGGGTGGGAAGTAATGAAAGAATTATAAGCCAGTAGTTTAACCCAGGAACAGCCTTTAATGGAGGAGCAGAAGCTCTAAGGAGAGGTGGGTCTCCGTTCTGGACTCCGTATTGAGGATAGAGGGAGAGCATAAAAACTAAATGAACTGGTTTCACTAACACTTCGGTAAGATGTTGGGGCCTAACCAACTTTGCTTTGAAACCTCCCTGATCCTACCCCATAATATGAAATATAGTCTCCTCCTCTCTGCTGAAGACAGCTCTGGCTCTCCAAGGATTCAGTGTACCCACAAGCTTGGATCTTGCTTATCAGGGAACTGAGGAACAGTAGTAGATGCTATATGTATTAGTCAGTTTTCTGTTGCTTATAGCAGGATACTTGAAATTGGGTAATTTATAAAGAAATGAAATTTATTTCTTAAAGTTTTGGAGGCTGGGAAATCCAAGGTTGCTATGGGTTGAATGTTTGTCCCCTCCAAAGCTCATGTGGAATATTGTTCCCTGTGTGGCCATGTTGAAAGATGGGACCTTTAGGAAGTGACTGAATCCTGAAGGCCCTGCACTCATGAATGGGTTAATCCATTCACGGAATAATGGGTTAACGGTTTAATGGGTTATCATGGGTGTGGACTGGTGGCCTTACAAGGAGAGCAAATGAGCACTTAGCACTTTAACAAGCGCTTTTGCCATCCTTACCATGTGATACCCTACTTTGCTAGGGGACAGAGTCCTCACCAAGAAGAAGATCCTCACTAGATATACCCCATTGACTTTGGACTTCCCAGCCTCCAAAAGTGTAAGAAATAAATTTTGTTTCTTTATAAATTACCCAGTTTCAGGTATTTTGTTACAAACAACAGAAAACAGACTAATACAAAGGTCCAGGGGCTCATCTGGTGTGAGCCTTCTTGGTGGGAACCTTCTGCAGAGTCCCATGGCAATGCAGGGTATCCCATGGCGAGAGGGTAGAGCCTGCGCTGGCATGCTTCTTCCTCTCCTTATAAAGCTGCTAGTGCCACTCCCATGATAACCCATTAATCCATGAATGGATTCATTCATTCATGAGGGCATATTCCTTATGGTCCAAACACCTTGCAAATACCATATTGGGGTTTAGGTCTGCACAAGAACTTTGAAGGAAAAAAACATTCAGACTATAGCACCATGGGATGGAATACACTAAAGATAGACTCAGGGGACTTAGAAAGAGGGGAACTTTGACAAGAGGCTGAGAACTTGTATTGTCTAATGATCCAGCAAAATGTGGATGAGCAGCAACTCCTTCACCCAGAATCTTAGAAAAAAATTTGTATTTTTTTCATTTCAACAAACTGTAATTTATATTTTTCTTTTTCTGTGGGCCATGATAATGTCTTTTGACTAATTAAGTACAAGCCAATTTTTATTTTGGGTGATGCTTGGCAGGGCTGGTATACTCATAGAAAATTAGAAATTTGCAGCATTAAATGTGATATCAAAGGATATTACACTCTTATTCCTGATGTCATTCACCATGGATTTGCTTAATAGTTCACTCTTAGAAATCATCCTCCTTGTTCAAGGCCCTGTGATGAGTTAATACATCTGACTTTGTGTACTGAGAACAATGGTAGACACACTGAGCAAGTTTTGCGCATCAAAGCTTTTGCCCCCTCAAAAGTATTTTCCCATGAAGCTGGACTTAGGGGAAGCCCTGTTCATTTGGCCTACATGATATTCCATGTGTAAGCTTTTCAAAGGCAGATTCTGTGACTGACCTTTTTTTTTTTGTTTGTTTTTTGGTGGTTGGCCAGTACAGGGGTCAAACCCTGGAGCTTGGTGTTGTCAGCAACACACTCTAGCCAACTGGGCTAACCAGCCAGCCCGTGTTTGATCTTCTTTGTACTCATCACAGGGCCTTGAACAAGGAGGATGATTTCTAAGAGTGAACTATTAAGTTTTATGATGTATTAACTATCGTTAATAGTGTCTGATGATGCTAAGGGGGAAGGAATGAGAAGAGCCACAGGATTTGGGGACTAGGATATCCTCAGAGAGATCTGTTGGAGCACTTTCAATGGCATGGCAAGGGCTGAGGCTTGACCAGGAAGCTGAACTCCATGAGGGCAGGGGTGGTGTCTTGTCTACCACCATTCCCAGTGGCAGCCTCATGTCTGGAATATAGTAGACATTCAATAAATAACTACGGTTTATTTATTATAAATGAAGGGAAAAGTGGACAGAGTATCTCTTTCAAAATATTTCGTTAAGAAAGAAAGAGGAGAGGAGTTTTCAGAAGATTCAGGGTGTTAAATAAAAATTATAGAAGGCCATTGTTTTAGGTCAAGCTCCTGCACTAGGTCCCAACAGACCAGACTAAAAATCGAAATGGAGTCACCCATGCTAAAGTTCCACATCACCAAACCCAAACTAAGTTGTTATCTGACCTTCTGAGAAATAGGGGGAGAGGTATAACAGCCAATTTCCCAGACAGGTCAGTTTCAATCTTCAGTCAGTGCGAGAATAAAGTTCCCTCTGCTTTAATCCTCATACAAAAGTAGTAGCCTAAAGCAAACTGATGTTAACCAAACAGCTATTTTTCTATTGTTTTGTTCCCTGTCCTTGCCTTACAAGATGAATAACTTTGAAATGTCCAATCCTCTTTTGTTTTTTGTTTCTGCTTTCTTCAGCCCTTTTCTGTCTATAAAACCAAACTCTTTAGCTCAGCTCATTGGAACACTTATTCTATTTTATGGAATGAAATGTTGCCTGATTCTAGAATTGCAAATAAAGCCAAGTAAGATCTTTAAACTAAATGTTATAATTTTGTCTTTTGACAAGGGTCAAACGTCAATTTTTATGGATAGATCATATAGTCAGAGCACAAGTAGCCTATGGAAGAAAAGACTAGAGATATATAAAAAGGGGGTAACTGGAGAAGATGTAAGGAATAAGGTCAGGAAGACAAGCAGAGACAGTAATCTTGAAAGGAAAACAGACCCTGCTTCTTCCTTAGAGGTAGGAAAGAAGAGCGACGGGAAAGGCTCAAACTGAGTTGAACCTGCAATCAAGTGTGTAAGTTCCTCAACCCTGAGATCAATTTATTATTTTAATTATTAAACCAGAGAAGTTTTTTTCTGGAAAATCTTACTTGCAGTCCAGATTTTAAAATGTAGAAGGTTATAAAGGTTCAAAGATGAACTTTGTTGATATAGCTTTAAAGCCATTAAGAAATCTCTATCAATTTCATTGACTATAAGATTTAATCTGAGCAGAAACCAGTAGAAAAAGAAGGTAAACAAGTAAAATCAAGAGTACTATATTTGGGAGTGTGGCATTATAACACCAAGGTCCAGGGTTTGGATCCCCTTACCAGCCAGATGCAAAAAAAAAAAAAAAAAAAAAAAAAGAAGGTAAAACTATAGGCACTAAGATCAGTGGTTGTTAGAGGTGGGGGCGGGGAAGAGGACTACATAGTGGCAAACATCAGAGACTTTGGGATGATGGAACTGTTCTGTATTCTCAATTGCAAAGCATATTGAGGAAGGGCAATTATTATACCTGGAACCAGAAAGGAAAGAACTACAATTTAAAAGTTTGGTTGATTTAGAGATTTATAATAGGACGATTTTATCCGCTTCCATCCCTTCCTCATCTCCCCACCCCACCATTTTGCAAATGAAGATTATTATACCTGGAACCAGAAAGGAAAGAACTACAATTTAAAAGTTTGGTTGATTTAGAGATTTATAGTAGGACGATTTTATCCGCTTCCATCCCTTCCTCATCTCCCCACCCCACCATTTTGCAAATGAAGTTACTGCCAGCACTTACAACACTTATACAAGGCTGTTTTCAGCCTATTAAAAAGCCACAGCAGTTAAGACTTTGCCACACTGTGCAGAGGCCAGCAGGTTCTGGTCATCTGCCATGGGTGCTTCACTGAGGCACAGGAAGAAAAAGAAAAATGTCACCTAATCTGAGAGACCTAAAGAAGTAAAAGCAGCCCAGGAAGCACATGCCCAGTGTTAAGTGTACATCCAATAAAGACTACTGGAGTGCAGGCATTAAGGGCTGTAATTGGAAAGCTTTCTTCAGGAGGAGGGACTTAGGGTGGACCTTGAAGAAAAGTAGAGCTTTGATAAGGTGACGAGTGGGGACGACACAATTGGGAGGTGATGGTAGGAAGGTAAGAATTTGCACAATACCATAAGACAAGCTCTGCAGAAGGTGTATAAATAAGAATATGGTTGGGGAGGTAAGTGGTGGTAGACGGCTAACCACATTTTGGAACTACTTTACAGATTAATTAGTTTGGATTTAGGACTCATGAAGGTCATTGAGGAGACAGGAAGCACAATCCAAGCTGCACTTTAAGAGAAGGCATTTGGCTGAATCAGCAAGGGAGCAGATTAGAGGCTGAGAGATGATTTTTTTTTTTTTCTTTTTGTTGGTTGGCCTGTATGGGGATCTGAACTGGTGACCTCGGCGTGGTGCTGATAACCACACTCTAACCAAGTGAGCTAACCAGCCAGCCTGAGAATGGGAGATGACTTAAGGGGCCACTGCAATAATAAAGGCCTGGGTGGTGGGTCAAGACCTGGGTTAGAGTGATGACAGTGGAAATGAGAGCAAGAAAAATACGATATTGAGGAAGAACAAACAGTATTTGGTGACTGGATGTTTAGGGAAGAGCAATGTCAAAAAGCACTAAAGTTAAATCTTGGGTGACTGAGAGAATATTCTATTAAGTACAATTATTAGCCATAGATAGAAAAATAGTTAAAGGTTAGTAAAGTTTTTTCCTCATAAGTGTATGTCAGATAAACTATATCTGAACCATGCACTGAACTTTCAGAGAAAGGGATCTATCTTCAAAAGATGTCTTTTCTAGTCTTAAATACCACTAGGGAAGTAGATATTTTTGATCAAATGACTCTCACAAGATTTAGAAAAACTTTTTGTAAAGACTCATAGTGTGGAACATATGGGACTTTCATACTCTTCGTTTTGTCTCTAGCTATCCCATCTGTGAGGTAAATGAACCTAATTTTAGACATCCTAAAGAAGAAAGATTACATCACCCCTAATCTTTTCTTCCACCAGAAAATTCATTACATCAGTTCATTAGCAAGTTTCACATGCTAATTGTTTTGTGTACTGAGTTCTGTATAGTTAAAAAAAATCACTTTACTCCAGTTAAAAACTGTCCAAATGAAATTGGTCATTAACAGTTGATTGGCAGAAATAGTGATGAATATATACTCAATAGGAATAGTTTATTCTTACTTCGAATAAACACCAGTAATTCTTAAGGTTTAGTCTAGAGCTAATTTAAAGGAGCGACCTTGGGTTTTTTTTTTTTTTTTTTTTTTTAAACATGTTTTTTTTTTTTTTTTTAAAAAGTCATATTGTGATAAGAACAGAAAAGTCTGACAAGGTGGTTTGTGTGCTATCTGCATGCAGAAAGGGTCAGGTGTCATACCAATCAGTGAAGCCAGCTCTGATCTAGAATTCCTTAAGTACATTGCACTAAAATTACATTTCTATAAATCATATAACATTTAAAATGCACAGAAGTCACCACCTAAAGAAAATAAGCAGTTAATAATTTTGAAAAACAAACTACAAGTTCTTTGTCTGGAGTTCAACAAATCAGATTTTCTTAAAAGATCAGGGCTTTGTCTCCATCAACTGTTTTCCAAATTGTAAGAAGGCTATTAGACAATCCCATCTTTCACAAATGGCTTGTTTTCAGTTTGCTGCTCAGACTATTTTCTTCTCGTTCCTTACTGTCCTAAATAGACTACATTTATTTCCCTTAGGACACCAGCAATGAGAATCTGGCACCAGTCACTGGCACACCCA